TCCATGCATCCACTACCCTCTCAGTAAAGTAATACTTCCTGATATTATTTTTAAACCTTTACCCCTCTAATGTAAGACTATGTCCTCTTGTTGTGGTAGTTTTTCTTCTTTTAAATATAGTCTCTTCCTTTACTGTGTTGATTCCCTTTATGTATTTAAATTTTCTATCATATCCCCCTGTCTCGTCTTTCCACCAAGCTATACATGTTAAGTTCCTTTAACCTTTCCTTGTAAGTTTTATCCTGCAATCCATGAACCAGTTTAGTAGCCCTTCTCTGAACTCTCTCTAAAGTATCAATATCTTTTTGGAGATACAGTCTCCAGTACTGCGTACAATACTCCAAGTAAGGTCTCACCAGTGTTCTGTACAATGGCATGAGCACTTCCCTCTTTCTACTGCTAATACCTCTCCCTATACAACCAAACATGGGGGGACCTAAATGACAAGGGGCATCAGGACTGTAGTGTTAAAAATACAGATATGTATTCCTAACGCTACAGCATTTTAAGTGTTATGTAATAAATGATTTTTGAACATGGTGACTAGATCCACCATATTTTTTGGGACACATCACATATATACATATAGATGCGCAGCACATGAAAAGGAGAGCCCTGTAGTATGCAGAATTCAGAAGAAGGTGTATAAGATTAAGCAATTAGGCAATAAGGAATCCTGCAACTAAGCAATTAAGTAATTAAGATTCCTGCAGAATATGCATTATACATACAGTAGGACAACCATTTTCATCCGTTTTCATAAATATGACAAAATGACGTGTTCCTGTAAACATGGTGGATCTGGTCACCCTGCTTTAAATTAATAAAGAAAATATATGAATTTATATTGTTTGTTTACTTCATTTTTTCCCCGTTAGTAGACAAGCAAAACACTATTTATGGCAATTTAATTAAAAAAAAAAGTGTATAATGAATACAATAATAATTAAGTCTGCCCTTTTTTCGCTGATGGGTAGAGTAAACATTATAAAAATGATGATATTACCCAAAGTTCTGTATTTATTTCAGACATTGGTCTATTGGTATATTAGTGCATAGAGAGTTCTTTAGAAAGTGTATTACTTATAATACACTTACATTACCTATTGTAAGGAAACCAAGTACATTTAAACCTTAATCGGTAGTTTCCTCCCGAACAGCCAGAGCCCAGTGAATATAGCCCTCCGTCCGGTAGTTATGGTAGACGAATTCCCAATTGGAAATCCAATAGTGTTCCTGGATAATTCCCACAGTAAAACACACGAACTCCCAAACAGCATACGTAGTCAGAATAAGGGTACAAAGATGAACTGAAGGTTTAATGACAGGAATGCTCTTTTTTATGGAATTCAGCCCATGCAAGGGAGCCTCCCATATAATTAGCCATACATCCAATCCTAACAATATACATACTGTACATCTCCTCCCCTCAGATAACTATTAAACACAATTAAAACGTAACAGAAATTCCCCAAAGTTTGGATGTACCCCAGATAGCTATTGTCTGGGAGACACAACATATTAAAAACTCAGTCCATTCGGTTCAGCCGTTCGGGAGATATAGGACTTAGACGTTTTGACCGACTGCACGGGCAAAGTAGACGAAAACAGTTCCATGAATTCTGGCCCTGCAGTCAGTCTTAGATCGCACGAAAAACCTCCCGAACGGCCGGCCATCAGCTACCATCCTTGGTTCGCTTGATTCACCATCTGTTGGTAAGTCTTTCTACCGAACGCCCGGTCGTTCGGTAGTTTGGAAGGGGTTTTACCGAAGGTCTGGAGGCTTCAGCGGTGTTCGCCTGTTTGAGTGTCCGTTTTCAGTTCCAGACATTCAATGGCAAACACCGCTGTCCGGGAGCTAAAATGGCCGCGAACACGAGGAAGTCCCGAAATGGCGGCGAGACCTGCCGTTCATGCACAACTTCTGCCGAACGTAATCCAGCCAGCAAGGGGGTACAGTCTGTATAAAGGGGTAACAGGGTGGTCTGCATTCGGTAGTTTTACCTACCGAATGCCATAGGGAAACATTGCTATTAACAAACAAATACAAGGAGTGCATATACAGTATAAAAGGGGCATTTCTTCACACCTATCGATAGAGGGGGATTAGGCCTCCAACATATATATATATATATATATATATATAGATACTACGTGGCAGTATTGTGTGCACGAATAAGAGAGTGGACAGCCACAAATAAGGAAAAGTCATGGTATGCCTTGGAACAGAGCTTTATAAAAGCTAGGTTACAGACGCTCCCCTGGTAAAATTGTAAGTTAAAGGACCACTCTAGGCACCCAGACCACTTCAGCTTAATGATGTGGTCTGGGTGCCAGGTCCAGCTAGGGTTAACCCATTTTTTAATAAACATAGAAGTTTCAGAGAAACTGCTATGTTTATGAATGGGTTAAGCCTTCCCCTATTTCCTCTAGTGGCTGTCTCATTGACAGCCACTAGAGGCGCTTGCGTGCTTCTCACTGTGATTTTCACAGTGAGAGCATGCCAGCGTCCATAGGAAAGCATTGTAAATGCTTTCCTATGAGACCGGCTGAATGCGCGCGCAGCTCTTGCCGCGCGTGCGCATACAGCCGGCGGGGCGTAACGGAGGAGGAGAGGAGGCAGAGAGCTCTCCGCCCAGTGCTGGAAAAAGGTAAGTTTTACCCCCTTTCCCCCTTCCAGAGCCGGGCGGGAGGGGGACCCTGAGGGTGGGGGCACCCTCAGGGCACTATAGTGCCAGGAAAACAAGTATGTTTTCCTGGCACTATAGTGGTCCTTTAAGTTTACTATTACCTACCACACACCCGTTTATAAATCACACTATGCAGACATGGAGACGCCTTAAAGATAAATGGGGGCTTGTCCCGGGACTATCTGTATTCTTCCCTATAGCAATTAATTTGGAGTTTCAGAATGGACATGGTAATAATTTATTAAGAAGGATAATAGGAGAAACAGATCCACCTATAACAAGATTATTGACACATGAAACACCCCTTAAGATAAGGGATTTTCCCCAATGGAAAAACAAGACAACATTTATAGATATAATGGGAATTTCCTATTTAAATTTTTTTTTTTAAATAAATTAGTGATACCATATTGGCAGTCAATAGACAAAGCACAATTTAAGCTTTTATGTGATCCAGGGGTAGTGAAAAAATTGTATTTATCTAGTATATGCAGTATAATAGAGAGAGGCGCTACGGAGTAACTTCTTTTCAACTGAAATGGATGCAAGGTCTGAATATTCAAATGACTAATGAGGATTGGTCATATGTGTTTAAAATGGGGGTGAACTCACAAATCAGCATCTCTAGAAAAATCACAACTTTTAAAAGAGTTACTAGATGGTATAGGACTCCAGCTCGATTACATAAATACTGTTTATTGGTTAGTGATATTTAACAACTTTGATCAAAGTAATAGAAGGGTTAATTAACAAATGATGATTTGGGACTTGACCAAGCTACCTCTGAGATAAAGAGGCATAAATCAAGCCCAATTTCTAATGTGATTGAAATAAAAAAATATAGAAATAAGTAAGTCTATTAGATATGCATATAGAACTATAAAAAACAAGTTCTACCGAGAGAGTTGTATGGAGTGTGGATGAAGAGAGAATGACTCCGGTTTGAGTCAA